ATGTAGAACAAAAATCTAGGGTTTGTTCTCACTTTATATATGTATATACGCATATATATATATATATATATAATAACGATCTCTTAACATGTACAAGGAAAGTCAGGATATGAATATCCACAGAATAATGTTTTAGATATTAGTTAGGTAAATTCAATAAAATATGTAAAATGCAATAAAATATGTAACATTTATTTTTCCAAAAACAAACGTGGGAAACACATTTAGGCAATTTTTAAATGTGTAAATGTATATCATTTATATTTGTGTAAATTTTTATAAATATATGTAAATTATTTTATAAATTTTTACAAATATACGTACGTAAACACATAAAAATTTGATAAATCACAATTTATGAATATTTGTAAAAATTTACACAATTTTGTACAATAATTTAGGACAAATTACATATATCCCCTTGAGGTTTGGCTAAATTACAAATACCCTGAGATTTGAGAAATTACAAATTCTCCCCTGAATGTTATATTTGCATAACAAATTAGGGGGTAATTTGTTATGAAATATAAATCTCAGAGGGCAAATTGTTATGAAAATACAAACCTCAAGGGGCGGGATGTAATTTTCGAAACCTCAGGGGTATCTATAATTTAGTCAAACCTCGAGGGAGGTATGTGTAATTTGCCCAATAATTTATGTATATTTATGAGATTTTATGCAAGTGCATACAGTATGCACCTTGCACACCCAAACACTACCCAAAAGATTTATTAATATAAGTTCATCTCTAATCTCACCAGTCAATAGCATAAGAGTCCAAGAACGTGACCCAAGTGCCCGTTTGGAATAGAGTTATAACACTTTTTATCCTTAAACTATCATTAAATTGTCTACTTAGTTCCTAATTTATTAAGTTTATTTAATTCCTAAAGTATATAAATTAAATTCTATTTAGTGTTTAAGCTATCCATTAAATTTACAACAATGCTAGGTATCATAAAAAGTTTTCATGAAAATGATCATGAAAGATTTGTGATATTTGGATTACACTTAGAATAAAGCACCACACACTAATCAAAGGTAATCTAAGGGTCACAAATTTTTTATGATCATTTTCATGAAAAAAATTTCATAATCCCTAACATTTCTCTTAAATTTTAGTGTCTAAAATATTTAATTCAATCATATTTAGTCTTTAAAATAATTATAAAAATAAAATATAATTTCATAAGTATTATAAATTAGTAAAATAAAATATCTAGTTAAATTTCATTACAAAAAAACTTAGACTCCGTTTGGTAAGCCTCTCAAATTATAGTTTCACCCATTGATTTGAGTGTGATGTTTGTTTTGAGCTTTCAATCATAATTCTACACTCATTTCTCAAAACTCAATTCAAAACATAATCATTATTACTTTTCAAAACCCACAACCAAACGCATAATTCAAAACTCTTTTCAAAACTCAATTCAAACCAATATTTTAATTTTTTAAATATTTTAAATATGTAAATATTTAAAAATATTTTAATTTTGTTAAGATTTTAAATATTTAAATATGTTACGATTTTTTTATTTTTTAATTTTTTGAATATTTTTAAATATTACAATTTTAATTTTTAAAATTTAAAAATATTTTATAAAAATAAATTCAAACCTCTATTTTAAAAATATTTTTAAATATTTTAATTTTTTTGTTATATATTTGGTTATGATTTGAATGTAGAGTTGTGAAAATAGTATGGAGTTTCGAGTCATGTTTTGGTTATGAGTTTTAAAAATAATTTCTTAATTGAGTTTTGTTTTTATATGTTTGGTCACGATTTGAGTGTAGAGTTGTTTTTAAATTTAAAATATTAAAATTTTTAAATTTTTTCAATATTTAAATTATTTAAATTTTTACGATTTAAATTTTTTGAATTTTATTTTAATTTTTTACTTATTAATTTTTTTAGATTATTTAATTATTTAAATATTTATGATTTAAATTTTTTGAATATTTATTTTTTTTAAAAATTATTTCCTTTGTAGTATTTTCAATTAAAAATTGATTAATGTTATTTTCTGTTAATAATAAATTTTTTTAATTGAATTTAAAAAGAGTTTGTTATGAGTGTTATATTTTCAATAGTGTGAAGTAGTGTGTTTTGTTATGAGTTATAACAATTTGAATTAAGTTTTGAAAACTCTTTTCAAAACTCATAACCAAACAAATTTTCTTACTTTACATGTCAAATCAAACTTTCAAAACTCAATTCCACGTTCAATCAAACTCAATTCAACACTCTATTCAAAAATCATAACCAAACAAATTTTCTACACTCAATCATAATTTCAAAATACACAAATTCAAAATACAACTCATACTCTAAAATCATAATTAAAAAGTCTTACCAAATGACGCCTTAAATTTTTATTCTGTATTTGAATAGTATCATTTTTTATAGTGAATTTTCTTTAGAGATAATTGTTGAAAAATCTAACCTAAAGAGTGTATAAGGCATTAGATACAATAGATATTTTTTGTTGGTAAAAGATTCACCCTTTGTGAAATAGTTTAGTGAGAAGTTTGTTTTGAAGGACAATTTGTCTGTTCACTTTTTTTATGACTATTGTTCAAATTTATCTATTTAAATTATTTTCTATTTGTTTAATTTTGTATCTATCTGTTCAAATTTTTATCTGTCCAAAATTTATTAATTCAATTTTTATCTGCCCAAATTTTTCTTATCTGTTCAATTTTTACCAACTATGATCTTTTGAAATCAACCATGATTTGATCTATTGAAACAGATCTGGGTATGTAAATAAATTTGAAAAGGAGAAGAGAGAGAGAGATAGAGATAGAGAGGGAGAGATGATTGGGGAGTTTGTGGTAAAAGAGAGAAAATATGAGAGAGAAAACAGCTTACAACTCTTTTCAAAGAGCAAGAAAAGAGTAAATCCACAACAACAACAACAAATTGAGTAGTTCTAGATATAAGCCATATTAGAATAGATATATGGTTAGTAATGTAATTTATCTGGTCTATTTTTGTCTGTAAAAATTTTCTATCCAAATTTTATTTGTACAAATTTTGCAGAGCATCAAACCAAATTTACTCTCTCTATCTGTCTCAAAATCTTTGAGGGTTATGTTTGCTTTTGGTCTTCGAATTTCTTAGCTGAAACAAGAACTATAATGAAGATCACAAAAAAAAGAGAAATCTCAAGTCTCAAGCCACATCCAAGTAAATATCAAGACAAATTCATATGAACCCAAAATATCAATCAATTCCTAATGTCTATGAAAGTTGCTAAAAGAAATGAAATTGAAAATTGAACCAACCATTTGTAGGTCAGTAAGCAAGGTCTTCAATTAAATTCAACTACCAAAAACCAACTTGTAACCCCTCCTCCCAAAAAATATATTTATATATATATATATCAAGCTTAACCTTAAAGTGAAATCTTGTCCCATCAAAACCTTCATCATTCAAACATCAATTTCCAATCCATAACCAAACTGACAACATATTTGTGTGTATCTATAGTAGAATCCCAGAATGAACAGAATCGATTCCAGAATCGCAAAGAAAATCCTTACAAAAATTTTTCCCAAAAAGTGTCAAATGTCAAAATTCGAAAAAAAAAAAAAGAGGGGAAAAAAAACTAGGGATTGGAAATTACCGTGAGCAGTGTCGCCGTCACTCGATTGAAGATCTTGATGATGCCAAGAATGATGCTTAGCGTTTCGAAAACGAGAAAAGATAGAGCAAGAGCAATCTTTTTGTGTAAGTTGTAGGAGGAATCCATCATGATGTCTTGTCGAAAATGGAGAAAGCGTGATCTACGTACGCCAATGATGGATGAGTTCGATGATTGGTAATGATACTCAAGTGGATGCGTAATCACACACACAACATGAACAAATTTGAGATCTTGAATCGCCTCATATCTGAGATCACAAATAAAGAGCGATTTAAGAGCGTTTATTACGATCTTCTCACTAGAGATCCAACTGATTATCACTTATAGAGGCCTCAGATATTGGCTCTATTGTTGGATCTGGAACTTAAAGACAAAGAAATCATCAGAGAAGATGTTCGAGAGAAGGAAAAAGCCGTCGAAGAAGATGTCAAAGAAGGCTTAGATTTAAATGACGAGTGGATCGTCCTCGAAGTCATAGGTTTTGCCAACAACGCAGTGACGCGTGACGGCAATGATCAGGTCGGCCCACCAGACCAGTGGCGTGTCAGCGTGGTGCCACGTCAGATCGTTACCTCTAGTCGTAGCGGTAGAGTGGAGATAGAGAAAACGGAGAGAGTGAGAAAGAAAGGGAGAGAGGTTCTAGGGTTTGGTTTTGTTTTTAACTGTGTACATAATTGTCACGACCCCACCCCACCCCAAAAAGGATGGTTTAGTAATCACCAGTAGTCATGGGCTACTAAAGGCCTAATTTTCAAAACAAGTTAGACTCCTAATAATAATTGATGCAAATTTTCTATTTTTGAGTGCGAAAGCCATTATTTGCTTATATTGAGTCCATTTGAAACATCCATTCAGAGCAATGCATAACTACATGAAATGAAAGCATATATTCCTCTTGGATTGTTATCTACATTATTACATGACTTAAACAGTAAAATAAAATATAACACTTATGACATAGCTTCACAAAACCAACACAAACACACAACACTGACTTCTAATACACTTATCTTTTGTGCCCGAACTCTTCATCAGCTACATACTTATATAAGAGAGAGGGGTGAGCCATTGCCAAATAGTAGTAATACAGTAAACTAGTAAATGAAGAAACATCGATGAGATTTAATAAAACCAGGCACAAGATCATAGTTCAAACATAATTTAATTTTATCAAGACAAAATAAGGCTTAACTTGCAAGCATATACATAGCAATGACCATTCCAAGGTTTTTGATCAAGAGTCCACAACAGGTGGCAAGAGGGGCTTAGTTAGCTAGAGGTTATTGGCGTGATTTTCCAATAATAAACTTGTGATACCCCTGTCCCGTAATATTCTAATTGGTCCTTAATTTGAGTATGATTATGTGTTTACCATGATTTTATGTGCCATTATGTGATAATTGTGATTTTGAATTCGTATCTGTTCACCGTAGGAATATCTGTTTGAA